TATAATATCATATAATATCATATAATATAATATAATATAATATAATATAATATAATATAATATAATATAATATAATATATACATATAGGAGCGCGGGACTCTAAGGGGATTTTTCCGACTAGTGATTGCTTCTCCCTGTCTCAATGCCCCTACTACGCCATTTCACGTAGAGCTGCCATGGTAGTGGTGGTAGTACTACTAGTAGTACTAGTAGTACCAATAGTACCAGCAGTGGTAGTACTAGTCGTCGTCGTCGTCGTCGTCGTAGCCGTATTCGTAGCAGTCGTCGTCGTCATAGTTGTCGTAGTAGTCGTCATATTACTAGTAGTAGTCGTCGTAGTACTAATCATGTTAAGAATTACGAATTAAAGATCACAGCAACAGCAATAGTATTCCTCGTCATCAGAAATGCTCGCGTCAAGAGTCGTGCATTTGACCCAACCAGCCTCGGAAAGAAACCTGAATTATTAGGGTTAAAACCGTTGCAGAGACCCTAGTTATGTAATTATAGAATTTGAAGGTTTAGGGTTTAGGGTTGAGGCCGTTGCAGAGACCCTAGTTTTGTAATTCCAGAATGTTTACAATCTCCAGAAACCAAAGAAATGAAGCCCTTGCTGCAAAATCTGTAGCATAGAGAGGTCCCGAAACAAGAAAGCACCCCCAAGAGAGCCCAAGACCCCTTAATTAAGGTTTTTATAATTTATTTAAAGTATATTCCAGTATATTCCTTAATTAAGGCCCCTATAGTTTAAGGTATATTCCTTCATTAAGGGGTATCGGGCTCTCTGGGCCCAGGACCTGGCCAGTTGTGCTGCAGCCTTCGCCTTGGCAGAGCGTAGGGACTTCCGCTGTCCGGCTGCAAGGAGATATCCAGACGGTACAATGCTATGGTTTAGGGTTTTGTTTTAGGATTTAGGGTTGCTACTATACAAATTATCACCAAACTAGCAATCGTGAGAGGAAAGTGCTGATGATTGATTTGATTACTTTCTGTTGTTTCATCTGTTCGAGTATGCCTTGTGACGCGATGGCAACTGCTATGAGTTGTACCCGGCTGTCCTCAGTGATTCGTACGCTAGGTTTTTCCCTGTACTTGTTATTTTGTTTCAGCTGCTCTTACGGAACCCTAAACCCTAAACCCTAAACCCTAAATCTCCTAAACCCTAAACCCTAAGCGCTAAATCCCCTAAACCCTAAGCCTTAAATCCCTCAAGCCCTAAGCCCTAAATCCCCTAAACTCTAAATCCCTAAATCCCCTAAACCCTACACCCAAATGGTCCTCAACATGATTTGCCGTAGTAGTAGCAGGCTGAGAGCTCCTAAACCTGGACAGCCCAAACCCTTAGTCCTGAACTTATACCTTAATCCCTTAAGCCTCAACCCTGAATTTAAAACCCTAAACCCTGAAGCCTGAACTTAAACCCTACCCTGAACTTAAACCCTAAACCTTAAGCCCCTTACAGGTTCCAGGCCTTCGGGCTTCGTACTTGTGGGGTCCTTCGGTTGGTTGCTGGACTTTGGCCACTAGGGATGTCCTTGCTTTAGGGCTAAGGGGTTTAGGGCTTAGGGTTAAGGGTTTGGCGCTTAGTGGTTTAAATTAGGGTTCAGGGTTTAGGGTTTAGGGTTCATGGGGATGTTTTTGGCTTGGGGGATATTGTATTGCAGTCCGGTGGGGCTTCTAGGAGTCGTTTTGAAGTGCAACACCGTGCGCCGAAGCCTCCTTGTGATTAGGGTTTAGGCTTTAGGCTTTAGGCTTTAGGGCTTTAGGGCTTTAGGGCTTTAGGGTTTTAGGGCTTTAGGGCTTTAGGGCTTTAGGGCTTTAGGGCGTAGGCAGTAGGGTGTAGGGTGAGCTGCGGAACGTACACGGCCTTCGAACTTCTCATCTGAGACGCGCACGATGCTGGCAGCCGAGGTGTCTTTTACCTCTTGGCCGAGGAGGCCATTGGGAAGGCAGGGCAGGTGTTGGGCCTTTATCAGTGAAGCCATAAGTAGTTGTGAAGCTTTGGTGTTATGTATATATATATATATGTTATATGTATATATATATATACATATAGATATGTAGAGCTACATCTAGTCTCCATTGTAGTTCCTTTTTTTTGGGCTTATCTACACGTGGGATCCCCAATAAGGAACTCTGGGTCCCTGGGTCGTAGTACCTCAACTTGGGTTATCCCTTGAACCCTAAACCCTGGAAGAGTACCTCAACTACTTGGAGGTTCATGGGTAGTTATAAGTGGAGTTATAAGTAGGCTAACTATAGTTAGAACCCATATTAGGGGACTTCTAACCCAACTTATAACTACCCCTGAACCTGCAAGTAGGGTTGTCCCCTGAACCCTGAACCCTAACCCTTTACCGGGTAGTACCTCAACTAGGGTTATCCGGGCCCTTGACAAACCCTAAACCCTCAACCCTAAACCGCTAACCTTTCACCTTTGTGACCAGAGCATCGCACCTACTGTCACGGCCCCTGCTTACTTTTCCCTAGGGCACTGTTTTAGGGGTTATACCGGGGTCATAGCCTATTTTTTGTAGGGTATGGGGATAAAGGTCCAGATACCGAAATAGTAGGTTACCAGCCATACATTATATACCCCAGTAACCCGTTATTTAGGTAACATGAGCCCTTGGTTTGGCCTCTGAGAAAGGCCAAAACCTTTGGTGCCGAGGAGGCTGGACGTGATGTCGGGCCGTGTTTTGGTTTGGATTGTCTTTGGGTTCAGGGTTGTTTCCTTTTGAGGCCAAAGATCATACAGCTGCTTGGGGTTTCTGGTGGCATATAGCAGATGGCCGATAGCTGACGCGGAAGCCAAAGAGTTCCTGCTTTCGAGTTGGTGTTGGATTCCGGCCGTGTTTAATCAAAGGGGCTGGGTAGGTATCCTGACATTTTTAGATTTTTGAACAGAACATCCCCGCCATACTTAAAACAGTCAGAAGCCTTCATCTCATCCTTTAGAGACAGGGTATATAATGATGGTCAACCTAAACCCTAAACCCTAAGCCCATCCTACCACCATTGAAAATGTAAGTAACTGGAGCCCTAGGGTTTCTGGTGCTGCCAGGGACCCTCTTAAAGCTTGGGCCGGGTATCCACTCCAGAGGCTCTCCCTGAGAGGAAGGGCCTTATATAATAAGACGAGGGTTTTGGTCGAAATTATGCCACAATTATCATACGGAACCCCCAAAACCCTATTCTAATCATTAAGGCCCCTATAGTACGATGTAGAGTGGAAGCAGAAGGGCAACAGCGCAGCATGGAGGCGGGGCCTGCGGCCGACCAGGCCGACCTTCATCGAAGGGTCAAAGATCTACTTGGAGGTTCATTTTAGGGTTTAGGGTTTAGGGTTCAGGGTTTAGGGTTTAGGGTTTAGGGTTTAGGGTTTAGGGTTCAGGGTTAGGGAGATTCATGGGTAGCTATAAGTGGAGTTATAAGTAGGGTAACTGGGACTTATAACCCCACTTATAACCACCCATGAACCTCCAAGTAGGCTGCAACTGCTGCGCGGGTGCAGGATCTGGAGCAGCAGGTGGAGCACCTCCGGGAGGAAAAGCGCACGTTGAGGAAGCACGAAACGGCCATCATCGAGTGCGACAACGCCACCAGAACACTGATACTGCACTTACTAGAGGAACACAAGAGGGCCAAGTCCAAAGATCTGATCGCAGGGGCGTAGGACAGCTGTAGCAGCCGTACTGCCGGGCGTTGCCGTAGGCCCGCTCAGACTGAAACATTGCCCGGCACAGTGAGTTACACACCTGGCATAAGCATCAAATGCAATTGTTGTGAAAGCTCCTGCTCCCCTACATTCCAAAGCGAAAAAAATACAAACCTAAGCCATATTGTTGATGATATAAATCCTGCATCACCTTAAGGCCCCTAAACTATGGGAATTATGGTATATCCCTCGGTATGGATAATGCAAGATGTATATCATCCGCCCTAGTTTGTGGGAGCACTTGGCAGCCTGAAGATCCCTAAACCCTAAACCC